CCACCAACAAATATCAGGTACTGTAAGCTATATTTTGGAGGAAGGAACTGTCAAAATCACTTCTGAGCACCACCTCTGAACCACCTGTCATCCGCTAGGACCGTGATGGTGAACCTATGACATGCGTGTCAGCACTGACACGCATGGCTATTTTTGATGACACGCAGCCACATGCGGCCGCATACAGAGAAGTTCACCTTATAAGAGCCAATCTAATTCCATCCTTAAATTTGTAAAAAGCCCTACAAATTTAACATGTGCACGTTTGAGCATTGTTCTCTCCATAACTCAGCATGGAATATACATTTTTTCTTATTTAAACTATAAATATTGCAAAATTATGGGGTTTTTTGTTCTTGAAGTTGACACCCCACCCAAGTTACGCTCAGGTTTTTGGCAAATTTTGACACACCAAGCTCAAAAGGTTGCCCATCACTGCGCTAGGAAGTAGCAGCCAATAATGAAAGGACCAAGGCAGTGACATCTTCAGCCCATCCACTGGCCAGATATCAGCCAGCACGCCAACGCCTTAAATCAAGAAATAGTTTTCTAAGATGTACAGAGACACTTGCTGGAATATCTCAGCAAAGGAGAGTCCCAATGTGTTAGGCTAGAACCCGGAACCTCAAGCCATGGCTGATACCGGATGAGAGATTCCCTGCTGGGCACACAGAAGACTGAGTGACTTGGAAGGCTGAACAGACTGCATTCTGGCACCACAAGATGCAGAGCTAACCTTAAGAAATGGGGCTTCGAAGTGGGGTCCACAATATGCGAGTGTGAAGAAGAGCAAATCACAGACACCTACTACATGCAGTCTGAGCCCTGACACATGCACAATGGAGGCCCTTCTTATAGCAACACCAGAGGAACTGCAAGTGGTCAGCTACTAGTCAAAGAACATTTAATATAATACCAAGTTTTTTAAAACTTTGTTTTTTAAAAAATATATTACAATTTGTGCCTTTGGTTTGCTTCTGATACAATAAATAAAATAACCTTTGAATATTTCTTGCTTAACGAAACTCAGAAGTTCATGAGTTTGTCATAACTCAAAAGGTGACTTGAAGGCACGTATACATAACAGCACTAACTAACCACATCCAGATGTGCAAGTACGGCTACACACCTCCCTAGGATACAAGGGAGGAAGAAAGAAACAGAGCCAAAAGATGCTTCCTTCTTTATTCCAGAGAAAGAGGAAATACTGAAAAATGTGTCCTTGGAAGCTGTTCTCATTCATACAAATTCTGCGCCACAGGGTTGCTGGGGGAAGAAAATGCGCACTACAACTGTGGTATACTTTCATTCTATTTATGACAAACCCCTTCTTGGTAGGTGTTCAGGCACCAAGGGAAAAAAAATCACTGCTAGGAACAAGGGAAAAAAGAAAGTAGGAGAGCTTATGTTTTGCATGGGGAAGGTTTTATGTCCCGTTCTTAGTATTCCTCTATAAAAGGATCAGTACTAAATGCTGTGACATCAGAGAGAACACAATCATGTTGTTTTCTTTGCCTACAACATTTATAAATTCTTTTGGGACCGACACACTCCTTACTTCCTAAGTCTTCACTTTTGCAGAATCTTCTGGGATTACCTCATCTTCAAAGCTTATTCATAGTTACACACTCTCACTTCAGCATTCACATTAACTTGTTGCAGGTTCTTTTTAAAGAAATCGCATCAGCATGTGTACAGATCTATGCTTGCTAACGGCAAGATTATAGACAGTCACTGACACAAGCATTCACTAGGGAGGGAAGAGAAGATGTCAACATTTCTTTTGACTTTCAGCTGGGAAGGACAGTGTAGAGTACCACACACTGTGCAACCAAATAGTAATGCCATGTCAATTGTGTAGTCTGTGGCAAGAAGAAACACAACCTGTGTCAACACCAGTATCTTTTTCCTTATACAGGCATTCAAACAAATGCACCCTTTTTGTCCTTGTGGACAAGTCAATTTTTGAGGTGTGACAACCCCATCATACACTGTCTTGGCAAGATTTGTTTCCCCAAATTAAGATCACGATTATTTGATACCTTACTTTGGGGGAACATATCTTGCCAAGACAACCCTATAATAGGGTCGTAGAGTAGAATCATAGTTGGAAGACACCACTGGGGCCCTTCCACACAGCCATATAACTCAGGATATCCAGGCAGAAAATCCCACAATATTTGCTTAGAACTGGATCTGAGTCCACACTGTCATATATCCCAGTTCAATGCAGATTATTCAGTTGTGTGGAAGGGGCCCTGGACTATCCAGTCAAACCCCCTTCTGCTATGGAGGAACACACAATCAAAGCACTCCTGACAGACAGCCATCCACTTTTTGCCTGAAAACCACTGTGGAACCCTGGGAGTTTTATTTTCGTGAGAAACTAACCCTCTCTGGCAGAGAAGGCTAAACACCCTGAAAAACTCTCAGAATTTCATAGCATTGAGCCAAGGCAGTCAAAGTGAGGTTAAACTGCATTATATGTACGCTGTATATGAACCCTCCAGTATCCTCTCCTCATTCCTACACTGGTAGCTATTAACAAATCAGAAAAGACACCTAATAAACAACCAAGACTAGGGGTACATCTGCAGAAGTAATGTGGTCTGGCTGAATAAGATAAGCATCTGCAGCAGCCAAAAAGAGAACAACAAGTCCAATGACTGACAAGGTGAGGAAAACATGAGTGATTCTTAGAGTGCATCTGCATTGCAGAATGAAAGCAGTTTGACACCACTTTAAACTGCCATGTCTCATTGCCAAGAAAGTCTAAAAACCACGTACAACTACAACCTCCAGGATTCCATAGCATTGAGCCCTGGTTAAAGTGAGATCAAACCACACTAATTGTACAGTGTAGATATAGTGATTCCCAAAATTCCCTAACTCTGGTCTTCTGAGTGCTTCAGACTTCAGCACCCAGACGTCTCAGGTGCCTTGGTCAATGATCAGTGATGCTGGGAGCTGAAGTCCAAAACACCTGGAAGACCAGAGTCTGGAAACCACTGAACTATAGGTGCACCCTTGGTCTTAGTTGTCTAACTAAGTGGCTGGTTTTGTGAAAAACCACTGGCACAGGGATGAGAAGGGCATGGTATTCCAGATCCCACAGGGTGTATCTACCATTCTATCCCATCAAATTTATGCAGTTTGGTACCACTTCAGCTATCATGGCTCAATGCTATGAAATTCCGGGAATTGTAGTTTGGTGAGGCACAAGCATTTTTTGGCAAGGAAGGCTAGATACCTTGTAAAACTCCCAGAGTTCCCTAGCATTGACCCATGGCGGTTGAAGCAGCACCAAACTGCATTAATTTTATGTGTTGTGGAAAGCTGAAACACAACCTACAAACGATCTACAGACCCACTGAGAAAATCCAACAAATGCTATGTTCAGCCAAGGACAAGAGGGATCCTCTCACATCTGCAGGAATCTGCCGTACACCATGCAGCTGTGGGCAAGTCTACATAGGGACCACCAATTGTGGCATTGCCCAAACACGAATCAAGGAACATGAAAGGCACTGAAGACTACTTCAACCTCAGAAGTCAGCCATAGCAGAGCACCTGATGAACCAACCTGGACACAGCATATTATTTGAGAACACAAAAATGCTGGACCACTCTCACAGCCACCATGTCAGGCTAGCTATTTATTTATTTATTTAGGGCTTTTATATCCTGTCCTTTCTCAACCTCCCTAGAGGGACTCAGGACGGCTAACAAAGCAGCACCCCATGGTGCCCACATCACAGAGAAGCCTTTGAAACCCACAAGCATGTGGACAATTTCAACAGAAAGGAGGAAACCATGAAAATGAACAAAATCTGGCTACCCGTATTTAAAGAAAACACTAAAATCAAGACAGTGTGTAAAAAGCAATACTCAAAAAGCAGGAGAATTCCAGACAAGAATCAATCAGGGCCAGCTAACACCTCCAAACAAAGGATTCCCTGAGGCAGCAACCAACCAGGCTCTGAAGCTGCAGGGCTAATCAAGGTGGCCAATTGCAACATTCACACTTGCCTCAAGCAGACAAGAGTTTGCTCTCCCACCGTGGACATTCCACAGATATATAAACCCCACTTGCCTAGTTTCCAACAAACCTCACAACCTCTGAGGATGCCTGCCATAGATGCGGGCGAAACATCAGGAGAGAATGCTTCTGGGACATGGCCATGCAGCCCGGAAAACACAGCAACCTTGCAGCAACCAGCCAGGCTTTGAAGCTGTAAGGCCACTAATTGCAACATTCACACTTGCCCCAAGCAGACAAGAGTTTGTTCTCCCACCCTGGACATTATTCCACAGATATATAAACCTCACTTGCTTTGTTTCCAACAGACCTCACAACCTCTGAGGATGCCTGCCACAGATGTGGGCAAAACATCAGGAGCGAATGCTTCTGGAACATAGCCATGCAGCCTGGAAAACTCACAGCAACTCTGTCTTAATTTAGCTATGTTTTGGACCTAGAAGTCTCTTCTGCCATGGTCAAGGATCAATGATTTTGGGAGCTGGAGAGACCCAAACGACCTGTAAAGAGTAGGATTTAGGGACCCGCTGGGCTATGGGTGAAGGGCAGGGCCTTCCAGATCCCAGAGGGCCCAGAATGAATGCAGCCCTAATCTTGGCTGCCCTATGAGGGGGCTATTCTGGTTTGTGAAGAAGCCCCCAGTGAGGAGGGCACGTCTACACTGCAGAGTGAATGCAGCCTGACCTTGCTTTAACAAGGGTCCTGGGAGTTGTAGTTTGGAGAGGAACCTAAGCACCTTTGGGGAGGGGGAGGGACAAACTCCCTGGGATCCCTGAGTCTCCAGAAGGGGAGAAAGGCCTCCCCCCCCCCCCCCCCCCCCCTTTGCTACTGCTCTGTCAAGGGAGAAGGGGGTCTGCGAGGGAGGCAAACTGAGCCAAGGAAGGGAAAGAAAGCAAGCCAAGGAAAGGAAAGGGGAGGAAAGGAAAGGAAAGGAAGGAGGGCAAGCCTCGCCTGGCCTCACCTCCTCGCGGGCGCCCTCCGCCGCCTCCGCCTCCTCCTCCTGAGGCACCGAGGTGCTGCTGCCTCTCTCGCTGCTGCTGCTGGCCAGGGCAGCCGCCGAGGCCGGGGGGGACATGGCGGAGGCGGCGGCGGCGGCAGCGGCAGCGACTCGGGGCCTCTCGGGTCCGCGACTCGCATTATTCTGACTAGGAGCGAGGAGCCGCCTTCGCCGCCTTCATGCCGTGGGCCCCGCAGTCTGAGGCGGGCGGGCTGCCTGAGCGGGTGGCTTCGCGCCTTCGCCCGCCTGGTGGCTTCCCGCCTGAGGGGCCGCGCTGGTGGAGACGGACGGCCGCGCGCGCAGCCCAGGGACAGCGCGCGCGGAGGGGGGGGGTTGTGCGCATGCTCCGTGAGAGGGAGGGAGGCGGGCAAAGGGAGGGGGTCGGAGTGGGGCAGCAAAGCGCGGCAAAGCGCTCAGGTTGGGGGAGTGAAGGGGGGGGGGAGGAGGGAGACGTCGCCTCAGTTCCTCCTGTTCTGAGAGCGTGACCTTGAGGCTGCGGAGCTTCCTCTCAGCCAGCCATCCATCCATGCCTCCCTCCCTCTTTCCCTTCTTCCTTCGCTTCCCTCCCCTTCCTTCCTCCCTTCCTATTTCCTTCCTTCCATCCCTCTTTTTCCTTTCTTCCTCCCCTTCCTTCCTTCTCTTCCTTCCTTCCTACCCCTCCTCTTTCCTTCTTTCTTCCTCCCTTCCTTTTCCTTTCTTCCTTCCCTACCTATCCTTCCTTCCACCCCTCCCTATTTCCTTTCTTCCTTCCCTACCTTTCTTTTCTTCCATCCATCCCCCCTCTCTCCTTCCCTCCATCCCTCCCTCTTTTCCTTCCTTCCCTCCCTTCCTTCCTTCCATCCCTCCATTCCTCTTTCCTCCCTCCCTTCTATTTCCTTTCTCCTTCTTCCCTCCTCCTTCCATCCTCCCTCTTTTCTTTCTCCTTCTCTTCATTCCTTCCCTTCCTCTTTCTCCCTTCCTTTTCTTTTCCTCCCCTTTCCTCTCCTTCCCCTTCCTTTCCTTCCTCCTCCTCTTTCTTCCCTCCTTTCCCCTTCCTTTTTCCTTCCTTCCTTCTCTTCCTTCTTCTTTCCCTCTTTCCTTTCTCTCCCCTTCCTTCTCTTCCTTCCTTCCTTTTCTTCTTCCTTCTCTCCTTCTTTCATCCTCCCTTTCCTTCCTTCCTTCCTTCCTTCCTCCCTTCCTCTTTCCTTCCTCCCTCCCTATTTCCTTTCTTCCTTCCCTTCTTTTCATCCCTCCCTCTTTCCTTTCTTCCTCCCCTTCCTTCCTTCCCTTCCTTCCTCCCTTCCTCTTTCCTTTCTTCCTTCCCTCCTTCCCCTTCCTTCCTCCCTTCCTTCCTTCTCTTCCTCCCTCTTCCCTTCCTTCCCTTCCTTATTTCCTTCCTATCTACCTCTTTCCTTCCTTGCCTCCCTTCTTTCTCTCCCTCTCTTCCTTCCTCCCCTTCCTTCCTCCTTTCCTTCCTTCTCTCTCTCTCTCTCCTTGCTTCCCTTCCTTATTTCCTTCCTACTCCTCCTCTTTCCTTTCCTCCCTCCCTCTTTCTCCCTCTCTTCCTTTTTCCTTCCTTCTTTCCCTCCCTCCCCTTCCCCCCTCCCTCTTTCCTTCCTTCCCTCTCTCACCTTTCTTCATGCCTCTCTCCCTCCCTCTTAACTTCCTTCCATCCCTTTTCCTTCCTTCCTTTCCTCCTTCCCCTTCAGTCAGTCCTTCCTCCCTTCCCTTCTTTCCTCCCCCTTCCTTTCCTTCTTTCGTCCCTCCCTCCCTCCCTTTTGCTTCTCTCCCATCCTTATTTCTCTCCTTCGCCCCCTTTGTCTGCCTTGCGCCTTCTGCCTTCCTTGCCTCCTTCAGGTGAAGTGAGAAGGGGAAGTGGCGCTGTTTTCCGCACAGACAGAGGAAGAGGAGGAGGCCACACATCCACCTGGCCTTCTCGCACTGGCAAGTCTCTTGGCGTGTAGCACCTACGCTGTGGATATAGGGCGCACGCAGCTTGACAGCCCCTTAAACTCCCTCCTGGCACGGGCACGGCTCAATGCTGAGGGAAGAAGTCCCCACAGGCGCCACCTTGCGACGGGCTGCGGGAGGGGACAAAATAAACCATTCACCATCCAAGGGGCATAGAATCAGAATAGTTGGAAGAGACCACATGGACCATTTAGTCCTATCCCCTGCTATACAATCAAGCACAATCAAAGTATCCCTGACAGATGGCCATCCAGCCTCTGTTTAAAAGTTTCCAAGGAAGGATATTGTACTACATATTCTACAGTGCAGAAGGAATGGAGTTTTGACATCACTTGAACTGCCAAGGCTCAGTCAGTGCAACAGCATTATAGAACTGATGCAGTTTGACCCCCCACACACACACACACACACACATTTTGGCTGACACTCCACTGAGTGCCTCTACAATGGGCATGGACAAACTTAGGCCCTCCAGGTGTTCCTAACAATTCCTAACAGCCTATCGGAAGTTGAACTCCAGAAACACCTGGAGGGCTGAAGTTTGTCCATGCCTGCTTTGGCCACACTTTGTCAAGTCTCCATGATATGGAATCTTGGGATTTGTAGTTTGGTGAAGCACCAGCAGCACACTAATAGGGAAGGCTACACGTCTGGTAAAACTAGAACTCCCATAATTTCATAGCATTGAGCCATGGCAGTTAAAGGCGTGTCAGACTGCATTCAATCTGCACTAATGTAGACACACTCTTGGAAATAATGGAAAAAGAGGCCCGAGTGAACAACAGTTTTGCCCCCTTGTGTTCCCTCTATTGGGAGAAAGGTGGGATAAAAATAATAAAAAGAGAAGAAATTTTCTATTTCTTAGAACATCCCAGTTTTCCCAGTTGTTCTTGGCCAGCAAAGCACTGATAACAGTAGTGTATGTTTGGGTGTGATTCAAGTCTGGAGTTAAAATTGCTGGAAGAAACATTATCAACCTTAGATATGCAGATGATACCACTTTGATGGCTAGAAGCTAAAAGGAGCTGAGGAGCCTGATAACCAAGGTGAAAGAAAAAGGTGCAAAAACTGGGTTGCAGTTAAATATATATATAAAAAAACAAGATTATGGCAACCAGACTGATTGATAATTGGCAAATAAAGGGAGAAAATGTGGAGGCAGTGACAGACTTTGTATTTCTAGGTACAAAGTTTACTGCAGATGCATACTGCAGCCAGGAAATCTGAAGACGTTTACTTCTCAGAAGGAGAGCAATGACCAATCTCGATAAAATAGTGAATAGTAGAGACATCACACTGGCAACGAAGACCCACATAGTTAAAGCAATTGTATTCCCAGTAGCAACCTATGGATGCGAGAACTGGACCATAAGGAAGGCTGAGTGAAAGAAGATAGATACTTTTGAACTGTGGTGCTGGAGGAAAGTTCTGAGAGTGCCTTGGACCACAAGAAGTTCCAACCAGTTCATACTTCAGAAAATAAAGCCCATCTGCTCACTGAAGGGAAGGATATTAGAGGCAAAGATGAAGTATTTTGGCCACATAATGAGAAGACAAGAAAGCTTGGAGAAGATAATGATGCTGGGGGAAATGGGAAGAAAAAGGAAGAGGAGACGACCAAAGGCAAGATGGATGAATGTTATGCTTGAAGTGATTGGCTTGACCTTGAAGGAGCTGGGGGTGGGCTGGTCCATGAGGTCACAAAGAGTTGGAAGAGACTGAACAAATAAACAACAGCAACTTAGTTTCTCTTCCAACTCAGTGATTCAGTGTCCTGATTTCCTGCATAATGGGATTGGACTAGATTACTACTTCTTTCAGATATAGGTCCCAACCCCAAATGGGACCTCCTTCACTCAGTGTTGAGGGTCACAAAAATTTGGCAATAGTAGGTTTCTGCATGCCATCGAATTTACACAAATCTGTTAGTAACGCCATGCAGTGTTTATACTGGACTCTGAAGAAGATGCTTCAGCAGTACTTCATGAAAAGGAAAATCAGCCTGTTTCTCAAGCCTAAATGTTTGATTTTATACCTATTTTATAGGGCCATGTAAAATTCTCAAGTGAAAGTAAGAGGGAAAAGTTTCAGAAGCCGAGACTAGATTACCCTTGTAGTCCCTTCCAGCTTTTCAGATTCAGGGTTGCCATCCCCCATCCGAAGAAATGAGCATTGAAGGCCCGCAGCCACACAACCAGCACTTTCCCTGTCCGTTCGAATTATCTCCTCAAATAAATCAAGGTATTTGACTTGCTGCAGACAATTAAAGTTGCTGTCAAGGAGATGAGAGGAAGAGTCTCAAAGGGTCCATTAGTGGCCAAAATGAATAGATACGCTGCTGAGATGGGTAAATGGAAGCACACATAGGGAGCAGACCCATCTCGAAAAAACATTTTCCAGCAGGCAAGCAGAAAGAGGGCCTTTCAGAGGGACTTCCATAGCTTTTCTTACAACAGGTTATTCCATCTAACACAATTTCCTAAAGCCCCTTTGAAATGTACTCCTCTTCTAGGTCTGGAGGCTTCCAGTTTCAGAAATTATTTAGTGAATCTGAAAATGCCTTTATAGTTTCAAAATAGAAAGAAATCCAGCAGCACCTTTGAGAGTAACTCGGTTGTTTTCATATGAGCTCTCATGCATATCAATTTGCTCCTTCAGATAAAATTTAGATTTCAAAGAAACCAGAATCTAATAGCTGGGAATCTTCAGGGCATTTTGATATATACCATCTGTGTTAACATCTATTGCCTGGTTACCAGTCAAAATAGTCAGGGCTCATATCCTGCCGTAAGGATTTCCCTTAATTGAGAAATGACAAAATACCAGTAATGATCATGGACCCCAGAAAGGTGGGGGCAGGTAGCCACAAGAAATATGACAACCATGGCAATGATCAGGCATATTGGTCCCCAATGCTTTTATGTAATTGAGTGTTCTTAGAAATTATCAATGAGAAATGTACTAAATGACCAAGTAATTTACCCTCTTCTTACTGTGCCTACGGTCCCCTGGTGGCGCAGTGTGTTAAACCGCTGAGCTGCTGAACTTGCTGACTGAAAGATTTGCGGTTCAAATCCGGGGAGTGGGGTGAGCTCCTGCTGTTAGCTCCAGCTTCTGTCAACCTAGCAGTTCGAAAACATGCAAATGTGAGTATATCAATAAGTATACTCTTCTGCAGGAAGGCAACGGCACTCCATGCAGTCATGCTGGCCACATGACCTTGGAAGTGTCTACGGAAAACGTTGGCTCTTCGGCTTAGAAATTGAGATGAGCACCACCCCCAGAGTTGGATACGACTACACTCAATGTCCGGGGAAACCTTTTGCCTTTACTATAATAGCTTAAAACAAGCTATTATAAAAC